AGCACCCAAATTTGTCACCTAACTGCAAAACTGAACACTGGGAACTGTTTAACCAAAATAAAGTTTATTAATATTGTCACCTTAGTTAACTTTCTGAGCCTCAATTTCATCTTCTGTAAAATGGTGAAAGTGCCAAAAAATAAATAAATAAATAAATAAAAGTAACCAATTTTATTAGGTGGTTGGGATGACTGGGTTAGGTAATGTGTGCCTGGCTTGTAGCAAATGTTCAATCAACAGCAATGACTGTTATCATCATATAGATTCCAGAATTCATTAAATGCTTGTTAACTGGGAAACTGGATTCACCATTTCAACTAATGAGCTTTAAAATTATAATCTATGGTGCTATTTACTACTTTAAAGAAACAACCATTTATTGTATTTAATACATACCAGGACCTGAGTTAGCTCTTGAGAAATAAAAGACAGTTTAGAATTACTTTTTAGAAACTGCCCTTAGAAACTGTAGCACCTTCTGTTTATAGAGTCCTTGGTGGTAGAAAGCATGTGTTTTTTCCAGGTTGATTCTACTTTTGGAAAAATATATAGTAATTTGGGGCCAAATCTCATTATTAGTGAATGATCAAGCAGATAATACCACTCACTGGTTGAAAATGAGTATAAGGTAACGAGCCATTTCACGTGTAACACATAAATCTCACCATCTTCATTCCAAAAGTCCTCTGCATCTTCATCTAGCCTCTTCTCACTCTCACTTGCCACAAAGGAGGCAGAACAGGTCCTCTCCAAGGTCAGCCTCTCCAACTCTACCCTTTGACTCTCTGACCTCACTCCTGTCAATGTTCTGGTGCAAGAAAGCACATTATTGGTTAATCACATTCACCCACTCAGTGGTCTCAAAACAACCACTCCTTTAAAGTGTTCACTCTAGGTTTTTAACAAACCTAAGACACAAGGAAGAATGTCAACTAGAAAGCATGCTAGGTGTACAAATGTTCTTCAGGATCTCTAAAAGGGGCAGGAAAAAACTTAACACCACTTCTAAAAAGTAGACATTGCCTTCTTAAGGCTCATAAGAACACATTCAATATAGCTACAAATCAAATAAAATGACAAAAGATATTTATAAGATTGATTTACCAGCTTAACACCAAGCTCTATCCATGTCTATTTAATCTATTATGACTCTTCCCAATCCAGATCTTCATTACATTATGCCTGAACCACTGCAATCTTGTCCTAATGCATGTCCCTTGGTCTAGGGTGGATCAGATGGTAAAGAATCTACCAGCAATGCAGGAGACCCAGGTTTGTTCCCTGGGTTGGGAAGACACCTTGCAGGAGGAAATGGCAATCCACTCCAGTCTTGCCTGGAGAATTCCATGGACAGAGGAGCCTGGAGGGCTACAGTCCACAGGGTCACAAATAGTGGGACATAATGGAGTGACCAACACACTTTGAAAATGGTTACCCACCCAAGCTTCCTAAGTACTAATTTGCATGTTATCCTCTTGAAAAAAACTTTCAAAAATTCTAGCACCAAACCCAAAGTCCTTCATCCGACCACCAGAGTAACCTGGTGATTGGCAGTCTGACTCCCCCCAACCTATCTCCTCCCACTCCACTGCACCTCCAAGGCATTTTATACACAAACCACAAGTACACTCCCATGAACTTTTTCATCTCTGCACTCATGATGCTTCCCCAACCCACAGTCTCACTGCTGAGGCCTGCTTCTTGATCAAGTCAAGCCAAGTTCAACTCTTCCTATGAGCCTGGCCCCATCCTCCCCTCCTGTTAGCGATTCTGCTCCTGCTCTTAGGTAAGAATGACACTTGCTACCTACAGCACTTTCTGGGCACAGAGCATTTTCTTCCTTGTTATTTACCTGTCTATAGACATAATAGATCTGCATTCCTCATTGTATTTCAACCACAAAGAATGCATAATTGTAATCTATCTGCTGGATGCACACATAATTGTAATGATCTTATAATTAATATACAGCTATCTACAAACTGGTATAGCATAAATTTAATAATATTTATCTTAATGTTTTAAAAAAGGATACTTGACTGCCCACAGAATCCATGAATAATGTATAGCAGCCAGTCACGATGGACAGTATTTTTAATTATATCTAGAAGTTCGCCGTTCCACACATACTTCATGTAAGGCTCACTAGAGATCCCAAATACACCTGAAAAAATAAGAGTTGGTATCAGGAAAATAAGGAAGTTGGTTGACATTCAATTCATTTTTAAGCTCTTAAACTTTTTTTTTTAAATTTCAAAATGTCTGATAAATATCACTGCTGTTTTCAGTGGATAGAACACATCTCATTGCCCAGAACACTGTGCTGATTCTGTACAAAGTTCAAGAAAAAACACATTTTCTGATCTGTGAGAGTTTTTAACCTAGAGAAAAGCAAACAACTGGGAAATTAAGGACACACGTACAAATACATGAATAAGGCTGACAGACAGCAGGAGCAGTAACTAGGAGGGTGGGTCTGGTGTCACAGTGCCTGGGTCCACATCTGAGCTCTGCCTCACCAGCAGGTGACAGGTGTGACCAAGAGAGTCACTTACTCTCAGCGTCCCGTTTGCCTACTTGGGCCCCTTCCATGGGACTGTTGTAAAGGCAAGTTGATAATGCACATGAAACGCTCAGAACAAGTCTCGTTGTCTTACTCATAATTCCATAAGTGGTAGTTATTATTATATCAAGCTTTTTTGATATGACAAAATTAATTTCATCAAGCATCATTTCAGGATATCCAAATAAATTTACTAAATATCAATAAGTTTTACAAAACTTATATAAAGTACAAAATAAGTATAAAATAATGGCTTAAAAGATTGTAACAGTTCTGCTTAGAGACAATCAGTACTATTTTTCTTCTCCAAATATGTATGTTAAGAGTGTTTATATATACTACAACAAATACCGTTTGGTTTTACTTATAAAAAATAAGCCTTCTCTGCCCCTTCAATGACATTACATTGAGCATGAATAATGGATAGGAGTTCTGTCTTTGTCACTTACCAGCTCTGTGACCTTTGGCAAGTCACATAACATCTCAGAACCTCAATTTTCTAAACTGTAAAATGATGATACCACTCACCTCAGAGATATAATTCAGATTTTTAAAAAATATAATAAGATAATAAATGTGTATAGTTTTAAGTCACTGAGTTTGTGGAAATTTCTTATGGCAGTCACAAAAACCTTATACACAGTTTATTCCTATCTATCAAGTAGAACTGTTCGACCAATAGTAAAAAGTTAGGTAGCTTTTGGAGTCTTAATTTGGATCTCAGTACAGATATTCACATTCAAATGGGAGGTTACACACAGTGCATATTTACTAATGCTTCTAGCTTTTCTATTATTAAGCATAATATTTAGAAGAAATGATGTGACAAATATTCAGGTACACGTTATCTTACCCCCCACCTGCCTCAAGTGGCACAGATTACAATTCAGATGTACCATTCAGATGAACCACAGCAAATTTCTGTGATCGAGATGTTCTGGGGTAGGGAGGGTGCACAGGGTTTTGCTTTAGCTCAAGTGATAGTCAATCTAATAAACGAACAAGAGTAAAGGCAATTAACAGAGATGGCATTCAGTTGAAGTAAGTCTCAAGTCTTCTTAGAGTGGACCAGAACTTCTGGCAAAAGGCTAACAGAGCATAGCCTCTTCCTGAGTGTCCTGCAAGGACAAACCTTCTGGAACTTACCTTCGACCTCTGCACCCACATCTTCATCACTGTCACAGAAGTGGCACTGGGGAAGGGACCCTAAGACACTACAGACTTTTTGTTTCCACAGTAAGGCCAATTCAGCTGAACTGTCTTAACTTTACATTTGAAGCAATTCCTTCACAACAGTCACTCTGGCAATGTCTCTGGCCTTAGAGTGCTAGACCAATCCCTAAATCTAGGGATAAAGATATCCATTCTGCTGTGTGGCTGGTTAGTCCCAGATCCCCAGGGTCACCCTAGACTAGTCACACACAGGTCCTGCAGTAACCCCACAACAGTCCTGACAGAAGCAGGGTGTGGGAGGGACAGGTGGTCAAGCTGAGACCAATCAAAGTCAGAACAGCCTCTGACCTCCTGCAAACGTTCCTCTGGACACTGGCCTTGTGATCTTAACCTCTAGGTCTTGGCCTCCTACTTAGCCTTTATTTATTTGAAAGCAGCATTATACCTACTGAGTAGTCTTTTATGAGGATTAGAGATGTGATACATAAATGTCTAGGCTGCAATAGGCAACCCAGGGTAACTTTTTTCTACAATTCAACTCACACACAATTGGTCTCTATGAAGAAAAATAGGTGGTAGTGTGTATTCTTCAATATTTAAAAAGAAAATTCTCCAGCCCAAGGCTAAAGCTGAATGTATTCCATAAAAGGTGCATGAAATTTTGCTAGAAAACATCAGCATACAATTTTCTGGCTTGCCCACAAATGAAATCAATTTGGTGATATATGATCTCTGGACTTCCCTCGTAGCTCAGGCAGTAAACAATCTGTCTGCAATGCAGGAGACCCAGGTTCAATTCCTGGGTCGGGAAGATCCCCTGGAGAAGGAAATGACAGGAATACTCAGGTATTCTTGCCTGGAGAATCCCATGGACAGAGGAGCCTGGCAGGCTACAAGTCCATGGGGTCACAAGAGTCAGGCACTACTTAGCGACTAAACCACCACCATGATCTCTATAAAAATGAATTCATTAAGTTCATAAACCTGAAGCAACTTCATGAAAGGACAAAGAGCAAATAGGAGAGGAGAAATATGAAGGAAATGTGAGTAAATTTAATGAGATGCTGTTTCACAGATGTCACATTAACATATATTGGATGTGCTGAAAACCACCTACCATTTCCACCCTGTGTAATCAATCCTTCATCTTCAAAGATGTCGAAACTCTCCTGGCGAGTCTGGGTGGTTTCTGACTTTAACATCTCCAGGGGCATTCGCAAGACTGTGAGATTATATTGAAGCGAGTGGGACAAATCATAGCTGTAACTGAGAAGAGAAAGCTTAATAAGAATTAGAAAAGCAAAACATATTTCATAATCTTGGCTCCCAGAAGGAATTAAAACCTATGAACTGAATTAGTTAGCACCTAATTATGAACTAAATTAGTTAGCACCAACAACGGAGGCAATGTTGTTCAATAAGCACCTCAAACATAGTAAATCATGAATATAATTGGAAATTTAAAAATCATTACATGACTTAGGCATTTGCATAACTAGAAATGCACAATAAAATGTTAGTAACCTACATTCATTGATTTGCATATGCACTTTGTGCTTCACACTGAAATTAATCTAACTTCATAGTCTTGTATAACAAAGTCACACTTTTATATGTATCTGAATGGACTATTAAAAATGCTATAATATCCACTCTAATAGTATTATACAAGGTCTGTACTCTAGTTTGCCTATGAATGAAAATAATTATATTAATTACTAATGGTGGCACCATAACTTATTTAGTAATAAAATAAGAATAAGCAAATAACACAAACCACTAGAGTGAAACATGTTTGAGAAGCATGTCATTAAAAAAATTATAACAGTCTGTGCAATAAAATTTGCACAAAATCAACAACTTTTATAAGTATCTTAAGCTATATATTTTTAGCAAAGAATTTCAGACAGTGTCTAGAATTTCTTAAATTATACAAATTTGAAAGTATTATGCTATAGTCATACTTTAAAATGGTTACAACTTCAGAGGTTCTCACACATTATTATTTCTTCTTTAGTTTATTAATATAATTTGAAGTTGATTTTTATTTAATCTGTTAAATTTAAATGTACCACATTTGCTTGATAGAGCCATTAATTTTATTAGCATCTGATCTCAGAGAGATAAAAACTGTATTAAGAAGTTGGTTTCTCAATCCCATATACAAGAGCATAAAAAAATCTTAGGAATAAATTTAACCAAAGAGGTAAAAGATCTGTATACTGAAAATTATAAGATATGAATAAAATAAACGAATAAGACACAAATAAATGGAAAGATATCCAGTGTTCACGGAGTGAGAGTCACTCAGTCGTGTCCAACTCTTTGTGACCCCATGGACTATATAGTCCATGGAATTCTCCAGGCCAGAATACTAGAGTGGGTAGCCCTTCCCTTCTCCAGGGGATCTTCCCAACCCAGGGATCGAACCGAGGTCTCCCGCATTGTAGACGGATTCTTTACTAGCTGAGCCACAAGAAAAACCCAGTGTTCATGAAACAGAAGAATTAATACTGTGTAAATAACCATGACATGATCCTCTACATAGACAACCCTAAAGACTCTACCAGAAAATTACTAGAACTAATCAATGAATCTAGTAAAGTTGCAGGATACAAAATTAACACACAGAGAAATCCCTTGCAATCCTATACACTAACAATGAGAAAACAGAAAGAGAAATTAAGGAAACAATACCATTCACCATTGCAACAAAAAGAATAAAATACTTAGGAGTATATCTACCTAAAGAAACAAAAGAC